CAGAGCAGACAGCATCCCCACTAGCTCGGGAGCCAGGCAGAAGGAGAAATCCTACACAAAACAGGCTCTAGAGCAATGTGGATATCCTAACTGGGCCTTCCTGAAAGCAGAGAAGAAACCCAAACAGGACTCCAGTCAGCCATCAGGTGAAAAGGAGGAACCCAGACCAGTGGTCATTCCATATGTTTAGGGAGTATCAGAGAAACTGAGACGTTTATTTTCTAAACATAACGTCCCAGTGGCTTTTAAACCCCAAAATACATTACGGCAAAGACTGGTTCATCCCAAAGATCCAGTCCCCCGGCACAAACAGAGTAATGTTGTGTATGCTGTTCAGTGTCAGGAGGGTGATCAGTCTTACATCGGGGAAACTAAACAGCCACTGGCCAAAAGGATGGCCCAGCACAGAAGATCAACATCATCAGGCCAGGACTCTGCGGTCTACACTCATCTCCAGGCCAGCAGTCACTCTTTCAAGGATGAAGATGTTCACATCCTGGACAGAGAGGAATGATGGTTTGAGAGAGGAGTAAAGGAGGCCATCTTTGTGAAAAGAAATCGTCCATCATTAAACAGGGGTGGAGGCCTTCGGGTTCAACTGTCCCCCTCTTACAATGCTGTGATTGCTAGTATCACTCAGCCCTCTGTGAATAGTAAACAGCCATCAGTGTGCTAATGACCCGTTGTTAGGCTGATGGTCCTTCTTGACCATGTGAGCAGCTGGTTTTGGTTGTCAGCAGCAAACTGGTTGATCCACTCTGAGAAGGTGCTATTTAAGAGACTGAGCTGAAAACAGCACCTCAGACTGAGGAAGTCTCTTGGATGAGAGATGAAACGTTTCTATATTTTTTTGCTTTTTTTTTTTTGTTGTTGGTTTTTTTTTTTTGAATGTCCAGAGGACCAGATTGAACTTTTTTGGATTAGGGTAGATTGTGTTGTAAAGAGCTTGAAGTATCTTGATAAAGACAGAAAGTAGCTGTATCAGTGCAGTCTATTTTAAAATCCATCAGGGACGGGGGTTATCGGTGTACTGGTTGTTGCATTAAGACTTTTGTATTTCTCATCCAAGCTTATTTTTGATCAACTTAGAAATGACCTAATTGTTGTGGTTATTCAGTTTTGATTCACTTCACAACTAAGCAATAAAGACGTGGCATTTCTTGATTAACTCCACATCGCCTGCCATCGTTCATGCCAGAGATTTAAACTACAGGTGATGGAGTTATAACAGTTTTGGTCCAACCATAAAGTTGCATTGTGCACCAGTCTCTTGCGATTGTGTGTTTGCCATCAATTAGGGCTTAGAATATTGAGGATTACCCTTAGTTACTACCACACCAAATTTAGCCAAAACTATGTAAAACTGTCTGTTATAGCCATTTTTGTGATGGCTACAAGCCAACTAAGCTAATAGCCAGCAAGCTAGCAACCACGCTAACTGTGGCAGTCATCTTGCAATGTTTTTGATGATAATATAATCATTACTTTGTTTGATTAAAATCCATAGAGAGAATCATGAGGTTTATCTAACAGAAACACGCACGACTGCTGAATATAGTAGTGTGAGAGGAATTATTATTTTATATTTCACTGAAATTAATCAAAACATACTTTTTTTTAGCTTGATTAGATTTTTTATTGAAGCTTGAACAGACATTTAATGACCCAGGGAAAACACCATAAATAAATCAAACACTTAGTCCCCCCTCCCCACACACAAACACCCGCAAAATTAACAAAATTAAAACAATAAAGGTTTACTGTCAACCAAAGAAATTAAAGATAACCTGAAAACATGTTTTTGCACCTTCCAGTGACTGTAGTATCAATCCTTGTATACATTCAGAACTGAGTATACATAAGCAAATAAATACATAGAGTACTTTGGAACCTTAAGTACAAAATAAAGCCAAGTCACCACTGAATTTAAGTCAAAGAAAGACAGAGATCTGCAAATAAATTGAACGATATGATGGGATTAGAAGTTAAATGTGAGGCCGTTCAGTAAGACTTGCCCGACACCAGAACACCAAACTCCTGAATGGATATTTCTTTATTTAAGTATTGTTGAAGCTGGCTGTTTGTGATGTTCCCTGAACGCAACGCATCGTCAATGGAAAACTTCTTCCCAGATTTTCTGTCGTGAAGCACAGAAGACTCTCCACTGGGGCCTTTGACTGTGATCTCCTCCCAGTCACACTCTTGACTCTGCAGGTTGACGAACATCTTCCAGTCAATCAAGCCCAGCTTGTACGCTTCTTCGGGTCGCATCTCTCTTCCGGTATCTGGATCTATGACAACAATCGACCTGCGGAGGTGACTTTCTCTTTGCTCTCTCTTCATTCTCACGGCTGATAAGTTCTTTTTAAGCTTCTCAATCTCCTCTTCTTTCTGGATCGTTATGCTTCGCAGATCTGCCAGCTCCTTCTGAAGTGAGTCGAGTCTCAGCTCCAGGTTCTTCCCATCCTCTCTCGGTGCAGACTCAGTGATAAGTCGGGTTTCTTTGCTAGTGATCTCAATCTCAGAGCGCAGCTTGCGGATCTCGTTCTGCAGCCTTTGGTTTTCTTGTTGTAGGCGGTAGCTTTCATCTCGGATGTAGTCCAGTTCTTTGGTTGACTTAGTGTTGGAGAACTCCATGTCTGAAAGCTTGGAGGTGAGGACAGACAACTCCTGGTCAAGTTCACGTCTTCTCCTTTTCTCATCTTCCAAAGTTCTTCTTAGGTTCTCAATTTCAATCTCAGCCTCTGGATCTCTCTCCACTTGAACTTTCTCGGTGCGGACAACCCTTTCCTTCACATCCATCTTCTCCAAGGTGATCTGTTGCTGAATGAGTGCGTCCAACTCTTTCTGAAGCAGGGTACGTTTATGGCGCTCCTCGTCAAGTTGCAGTTTGAGGATAGAATGTTCTTTCTCCTGTTGAGGATCCTGCTGCAGGACTACCTTCTGTTTGACAGTCACCTTCTCACGGTTCTCTTTGTCACGAATCTCTAGCTCATTGAGTCTGACCCGAAGTCTTTGGATCTCCAGCTCCGCATCCCGTCTGGCCCTGCGCTCACGCTCCAGCTCCTCCAGTTGCAGGTCCAGGTCAGCGATCTGTCTCTGCAGTTGGAAGAGTTCTGCTTTCAGGTTGTCTTTTTGTTTTTGCTCACTGTTGATGCTTTGCAGGAAGTTGTTGCACTCTGACTTGAGGACAAGGTCTTCTTCCATTTTGACAACCTCTTGTTGCACGATCTTTTCCCGAACCTGAGACAAATCTATCTTCTTCAGTCTAATCTTCTCCTCCTGGGATGACCGTTCCCTCTCAAGATCGAGGCGCTTTTTCTGTTCGTCAGCCAGTTTCTTTTTCAGAGTCTCAATCTCCTCCTTGGTTTTTGGATCTTCTCGGTACTGCACCACTTCATTGACCACCTCTTTGGTCTGTACTTGGGGTTTAGTGTCCCTCCATCTGTCAATTTCATCACGAAGCTGACGGATCTCCATCTCGGATTTCTCGGTCTGGTGGGTTTTATCAACAATTTCATTGCGGAGTCTCTCCAGTTCTCTTTCAGTCTGCGGATCGGTCTTGTATTTGATAACTTCTTTGATGATTTCTTTGATTTCCACTTGAGGTCCTCTGTTCTTCAGCATGACCAGCTCATCCTGCAGGGATTTCAGTTGTAGATCTGAATCTCTGTAGCGTCTCTGCTGTTCTACGAGTTCAAGACGAAGGTTGGCCACTTCGTTCTCAGCCTTGGGGTCAGGGCGAACGATCTCGCGCACTTTTTCCTGAATTACAACCTTGGACTTCTCTTCCTCTAAGCTCTGAATCTTCCTCTGGAGGTCAGCCCTCTCCCGCTGTGATGATCTTCTTTTGGACTTCTCATCCTCATACTGCCTCCTCAGGTTTTCTACTTCTCTTTCAAAGGCAACATCTTTCTCTACTTTCAGCACCTCTTTAATGGAAATCTTCTCCTCTGCGATTGACTTCTCTTTCTCCAACCTTCTGAGTTTTTCCTGAAGGAACTGCAGCTCATCCTCCAACTGCTTCCTGTTGTCCATTTCCTTCTGCTTCCTGTCAAGGAGCACCCGGTACTCAGATTCAAGCTGGGGGTCATTTTGGACTTTGATCACTTCCTCTTCAGTGATCACCTCCTGTTCCTTGTTTTTCTCCTCAGCCAGGATAGTTACCTGCTTTTGGATCAGAATCAGCTCATTGTCTTTTATCATCTTCTGCCTCCGCAGCTCCTCCAGCTCATCCCGAAGCTTTCGAATTTCCTCCTCCTGACCACGGTCTCTTTCAATACGCAACACCTCCTTGACGGTGTACTGCTGAGCTCCTTCTTTCACCTCGGTCTCGAGACCTCGCAGTTTCAGCTTGAGACTCTCCAGATCATTCTCCAGTACATGAGTGGTGCGACGCTCCTCTGAGAGCTTCTGCTGAACCTTGTGCACCTCCTCGTCCAGCTGTGGGTCTGGAACCTTTTTAATGTGCTCTTTTTTCACAATTGTATCTTGAGGCTTTTGTCCTTCCAGAACATAAATGTCAGTCTGAATAGTCTCAATTTCTTTTTCTAGCTGCTCCCTTCTCTGGATCTCATCTTCCAGCTGCTTCCTGATCCTCCACGGCTCCCCTCCAGGGGCGGCAGCATGGACCGACATCAGGCTGGTGGACTGTATAACATTGATCTCGGGTTGCTAAAGGAAGACATTCATCATCATGATCATTTCAACTTTTTTAATTGCAAAGGTTTGTTATATTTTGAAGAATATTTTACCTGGCTGAGGAGATTTTGGGCAAACTCAAGATTCTGCAGCCGTTGTTTATTCACAGCATTCACTTCTGTAAACTTTGCTTCGATGGCAGCTTCCTGCAGATAGAATATTAAGTCATGAAAACCCCATACAGTATAGGCTTTAAGGTCACAACTTTTAATTGATTGATTAATTAATGACCCCATCTCATGATGAGAAAAACCCACACCCAAATCATTCTGGGTGGACCCCCTGTATCGAACCCTATGTGCCCTCCTATATCAAGTTGGTGAAACGTTGTGGTTCCCAGCCCTGGTCCTCGAGGAGCACATCTTTTTTCAGCTGTTCTCTCTTCAGGGGTCTCCACAGCAAGTCATCCTCCTCCAACTCACTCTGTTCTCTATGTTTTCTGTCCTCACTCCAACTACCTCCATGTCCTCTCTAGCTGCATCCATATAATAATAATAATAATAATAATAATAATAATTAGGGATGGGGCCGATCCGATCCAGTATCCGTATCGGCCTCCGATACCAGCATAATTAACGTATCGGATTTTTCTGATCCACCTGCTGATATTTCCGATCCATGCATGTCTGTGCTTGCGCTGCATGTTGGCTTCAAACTATAGAATGGATTTCCTGAACGGCAGCGTGTTTCATGAACCCAGAGTAATAAGACCCGTCTCACATTCAGGAAATCCAGTTCATAGTTTGCAGCAGCTACAACGTGAGGGCTGAGTTAGCAGCACTGTGGCTAACAGCTAACCAAGTTTTCATCTAAACATGTCCGCTGTGTGGAAGCATTTTACACTAGAAACACCACAAAACAAGACAGCAACGTGCAATGTCTGCAGAGCCATAGTGCCACATTAAACCGCGGTAAAGTTAGTTTTACGATGGACATTCGAGATCTGGGGCTTCAGCGGGGTGCTGCTCTTTGCTCAACCCAAAACAAGCGACTTGACCCCGGCCAGCCACGTCCAATCTGCCCCGCTCAGTCTGCCGTCTCTGAGGAGGGACAGACTGAGCGCGGCTGACCGAAATCAGGCTGCCTGCTTCAGATTGAACAAGAAGAAGACGTCGCTGAAACCACGGAGCTCAAATGTTTACAGAAAAGTTGCTAAACTTCATCATAATTAATGACCAACCACTATCAGTTGTAGAAAATGAAGGATTTCACAGTTTGATACTTGCAGCCAAGATATAGTTTATCCTCCAGGAGATATTTATCAGTACAACAGTAGACAATCATAAAAAACATGATTTGAAAATTATATATATTAAAAACATAAACAGCTACATTATAAAGTGATGTAAAATACTAAAAACAGGAACATGTCTGTTGGTTTATGCCATGAACTTAGATGTTTGAAGCCATTTAACATTTAATTTTATTTAATTTATTTATTCATTCATTTAAAAGAAACAAAATTTAAAAAAATCATCAAAAAAAAAACATTGAATGAAAAGAATGCAGAAAGAAGAAAAAATGCTTATATCTGCCCCTTATTTAAAAAAATATAAAATAACTTTAAACAATCACTTAAATTAATCACTTTAATATCCACTTTAAAGCTAGGAATAAAAAGAAACATGTTTTGTGTTAGCAGAATTTAATTCTAACTTTAAAACTTATCCAACATTAATAAAACTTACCTCAAGTTGCCTTTTTGGACATGCGTGCATATATTTGTACAAATTGTACTTGAGAGGAGATTATTACAGCCTCATATAAAATCAGTGATGATCATGATATCGGAACTGGATCGGTGTCGGCCAATACTCAGTTCTAGGTATCGGGATCGGATCGGAAGTAAAAAAAAAGTGGATCGGTGTATCCCTAATAATAATAATAATAATAACAATAATAATAATAATAATAATAATAATAATGGGCAGCACGGTGGCGCAACTGGTAGAGCTGCTGCCTCTCAGCGAGCAGGTCCCTGGTTCAAACCCCGGTCCAGGGGCCTTTCTGGGTGGAGTTTGCATGTTCTCTCCGTGCATGCGTGGGTTTTCTCCGGGTGCTCCGGTTTCCTCCCACAGACCAAAAACATGCATGTTAGGCTGATTGATAACTCTAAATTGTCCCTAGGTGTGAGTGAGAGAGTGAATGGTTGTTTGTCTCGTTTGTCTCTATTTGTCCCTGTGATGGACTTGCGACCTGTCCAAGGTGTACCCCGCCCCTCGCACAGTGATTGCTGGACATGGGCACCAGCAACCCCCGTGACCCAAAATGGAATAAGCGGGTAAAGATAATGGATGGATGGATAATAATAATAATAATAATAATAATAATAATAATAATAATGTCATCACTGTATGTTTCCATACAATGGCAAAATTAGTCTCTGCATTTAACCCATCCACCACCAGGTGGTGCAGTGGGCAGCTATTAAAAGCACCTGGGGGGCATTTTGGGGATAAGGTGTGCTGCCCAGAGACACCATGAGGTATGCAGTGACCAGGGATCGAACCTGGGACTTTCAGGTCCTGAGCCGGCTGCCCTGCCTCTACACCATCCTATTTGGTCTTCCACTTTGTCGTTTCCTCGAGGAGCACCATCCTGCATGTTTTAGATGTTTCCTGCTTTGACTCACCTGGTTTGAATCAATGGGTGATTAACAGGCAGAACTTGAGAAATTAAATCACTGCATCAGGTGTGTTGGAGCAGAGAAACAACTAAGTCTTGCAGGCCAGTGTCTCGAGGACCAGGGTTGTGACCCACCTACATCCCACAGGAGAGGAGGCTCTCCACATCCCCACCATGTCACCATGGAGATGTTGGTGTATGTGGTCACTGTGGAGAATGGCAGATGTCTGGGGCAGACAGAGCTGTTGGAGAGT